AAAAAAAAAATCCCATGTTTTGCTTTTCCGTTTTTTCCCAAGTGAATTCTGCATCAATGAATTGGTTTGATAGTAATGATCATCTATGAATTGAGCAAAAGATTTTGATAAAGTACTCTCTCTCTCTCTCTGTGGAATTTTGCAGTTTCAACAAAGTTTATCTAAGACGGATGGCACAGCATATTGAGATTACCCGACTGCTCGATCAAACTCCTCCGAGCGATGAGGTCTCTCTCTCCTCTGCCTCTCACAAGACACACACACAAAGAATCTCTTTGTTTTTTTCCCCACTGTTTGTGTACTATTTTTGACAAGAGGAAATAAGATAGGAAGTATTAACGGATTTGATGGATAATTTGATTGTCCTTTTAAATCTAAGCTTGTGGCACAAAATGGCAAACAAACAAGATCAAATTCGGTAACAGAATAGCAATTTATCCTTCTCTTGTAGCAAAGTAACTGCTACAGCTGATCTAGACGAAGAATAAACTCAATCATAAAGACTAGATAATTGGGGAAATAAAGTTATGTTGGTCCTTATTACCTCTATTAAGTAAAAGAGCGAAGGTCATAAATGTAGTATGACGTATTTTTTCCCACTATTATTCATGTTACAGATGATGAATCAATTTCTTTTATATGTCTGTCACTTTATCTTTGTTAGTGCTGTCTGCCTATAATGATAGATAAATCAAAAACTTTTCATTCTAACTTATTCTTTCAATTGAAATTGAGATTTTTGCCTATCCTCCTATTTTATTTTGAAAAATTTGAAACTTAGGTAAGTGCTCAGCTGACTTCCATCTTTTGCAACAAACTAAACAAATATTTTTTTCAAAATATATAAAGTATGACTTCCATGTGCTCAAAATATTTCTTTATTCCTAGTAAGATACAACTATATAAAGTATTTTCCAAGAAAATAATACAAAATATGAGATATGTCATGTCATTATCTTAAAATATTCGACAATAAAGACAATAAAATTATGTAATATAAATATTACTATTTAAAAAGCCATAATAAAAATAAACATAATCTAAAAGTGCTAAGTCATGCTAAAATAAGTAGACTAATAAGGGAGTATTAATTGCATGACTAAACGCTAAAGAAAAAATAAAAATAGGTTATGCATTTTTATCTAAATTATTGCAAAACAAAAAATAGATATTCAATACATTCCCGTTCGTAGTATTGAATTGAATGTTTTTTGTTAGTATTAGTAGTGATTTGATTTTGGTTTGGGCTTTTGTTAGCACTATTTAATTTACTAATGTTTATGGCTATAAAACTTAGTAAATTAAATAAGAATATTCCAAAGTTATAAGTCCAACCTTGAAATAATACCTCAAAAGATAAAATTATGAAATCTTTTAAGAA